TTTGGTATCGTGACAACACTACTCAGGACACTTTTCAAATGGAGCAGGTCTAGACCGAACTCCTTATAACATTTACAGACCCAACAGTACCACCATGAGCAAGCACTTGGCGACGGGGGCAAGGAGAAACTGCCTTTTAACAGGCAGAAACCAAGGACCGACACCTCGGACAGACCCCGGCTCTAGGTGGGTGGTTTGTCTGCCTCGACCAATATGTGTCAATTTCACCAGCTGTACAGAGGACTGAAGAGGAGGAGCTTCCTTGACAGCCTTGCCTGCGTGAATATCCATTGTGCACTGTATTTCATTGGGCTAATCTGTTGCATCCACAAGCAGAAGTGTGTATTCAGGCATTTCAACCTCTCTCACTGGATGAGTGTGCACAAACCAACACACACATGCAAAGTGTCCTTTTTTACTACAGTTTTTGCAGGTTGCTTTTGCTGCTAGACATTCAAGTGGATTGGCTAGGTGTTTTTCGGAGCCACAGCGGAAACAGGTACATTTATCACAAGGTCATTTTCAAACATCCTCATCACTCACATCTTGAATGGAATTGCTGGCTCACCACGGCATAGCAGAAAAAGATCTGGGAATGGTGCATTTACAGCCATCTTTACTCAAAACATTGGCAGGTCCGTCTCGTTGCCAATTTGTAATGTTTCAGTGTAGAAATAAGCAGAATCAAGTAAGATAGTTACTGAGTTCGGTCAAGACCTGCTCTATTTGAAAAGTGCCCTGAGATAAATTCTGTTATGAATTGGTAATTGAATTGAATTGATTTTAGTAACAGAAGCAAAGCACCAGCTCCATAATAGCATACAGACCGTAACGACAACAATACTCAGCACTGCATGTCCTTTTCCTTTTGTGCGCAAGCTCACAGCACCACCTTGTGGTATAATGTAGAATGGAACAATTATTACTGAACACAACAGTCTCATTCTAAGGTAACAAAAGCCTCAAGCTATGGTGACAGGCTTAGGATTTTGGAATGGCTGAAAAGATAAGTACTCCCTCTTGTGGCAATTCAAAATAAATCAGGAAATCAAAATAGAAATGTTTCATTCATGATTCATTTAATTCATTATCCCAATAAAGATAGTTCACCACAAGTGTCTTTTTATCTTATTTTTGTCCTATTCAAACATCAATCATGTGACTGTTTCGACAGCAGTGACTGGTTTCTGGAGGACTTGCCTTGTGGAAGTAAATGTATCCCTGAGTCAGCTCATCAGAACCCTCTCCGGAGAAGATCACCACACTGTCTGACTTCTCCTTGATGTACTTTGAAACCAGGTACATCCCTACAGTGTCAGAAACAGAGAAATGATGACAAAATGATCAGAATTGCCCTAATACACACACACACACACACATACACACACACACAAGTTGAAGAAGTTATAACATGCATATAGGAGCCTTTGAAAGATGGTTGCAATTATAAAGGATATTTGAACAGAGGATTAGCAGTGAAGTGTGCAGTTTGGGTTCAGATTTCTGATTAAGGGCTGTACATCACTAACAGATGTTATTTTAAAATGAAAAGTTATCTGTGGCAAAATTTAACAATAAAATATGGAATGGAAACGTGCCAGCTTCCAGTCCTAAATTAACAAATCACCACATTAAGAAACATATGGCCACATCTTTCAATAAAATAATGACAGCAAAATATTCATTAAAATAAAAATTCACATTTAATACACTTTACATAAATACATGCTAATTTAGCACTATGACATATACATGTACAATGTGTTGTGATTCATCTGTGCAAAAGTATTTCTTCTTTGGGTCATTTTTTATTTGAAGATATTATCACTGAATATCATTATATATTATTGGATTGTGGATTCATTTGTATCATTAATATCAGGGTTCCCACTCTTTTAAAGAAATCCTTTTTCTAGGACATCTAAGAGTTTTCTTGACAATACAGGACAATACTTGCTACCCAAACTGTCATATGATTTACAGGTAGAACTTATATTGAAAAGTTTAACACTATTTTTATTCATTACATACATTATTAGGTAAAGTAGAAAGTGTTTATTGCGTGTACAATTAACATTTCTGTGTGAGCATTTATTGACCACAAAAACAAGATATTTTTCCACTGGGAATTTACCACTAAATTTTTGCTCGCAGCTCTAGAAAACACCAAAAAGATTGCTGCAAGTTTGTTCCACGTCTAGTGCTTTGAAGTGTCATATGCGCAGGTTATCCTACAAACAGTTGAGTTTAAAACTAAATAACCAGGCAAAGATCAAAATAAAGGGTTAATATACAATTGAAATTTTCCAGTATGCGTAGCAACCCTGAATATGATGATGTAGTGCTGGGTTGTGGCACAGTGACTGCCCCCCCTACTTCATGACCTCTTTGACCAATTCACTAATCTCACTGGATCCCAATGTGATTTAAACGAGCCAGTCAGGAGGAAGAGGAATGTAGTGATGCAGCATATTTAGACACATTTTTTTGTCACATCAACGAGCACATTAATCAGCAGAAATGTGAGGCATTAAAAATTTTAGAGAGGAGTTTCGAGTTGAGCTGCTCTTATTGGCTGCGCAGTTTTGACTTGTCCATAGCAGGAAGGTAACAGAATCTGGATCCATATTTGATCAGCACTGCCTAGTCTGACAGTTTGATCTGAGTTTGGTGCGTTGAGCTGGACGGACTCACTGAGACTAACCTGTCAATCACATTTATCCACGCCCTAAAGCATACCCTGCCTTATCTTCTATTTTACCCTAAATGGGAAAACCAATCATTTACCTAAATGAACTTAAACTAGTGATGGAGAACCATAAACTCATTAGGAAACTGTTTACTGAGCTCATAAATCAAGTGATGAGTCGGCTAATTTTCTTCAAATAAGCCCGTGGTTCGTTTTTATTGCAGCCAATGGAGCTGCCCCCTGCTAGCCCCATTACATAGAATTTCAGGTTAAGAACAATTCCATGTCAGCTTACAACTTTACAGACCCTGGAAAGCGCTGTCCATTACATATACTGGTCAATGATTCCTAACCAATCCAGAGCAGGAGTGGGCTGGTCATGTATTGACGTTTTTTGTCCTATATTAAGGTGATTATAACAATAATGAAATACCTATGAAATCAATCCATATTCAATTTCTGCCAATAGATCCTCCCCTAAAATCTTACACCACTGGACCTTTTAATGACAGAAACAAGTCAAATTGCTAAATTTAAGAGGCTACACCCGTTGGTGATATTTGCTACAAACCCAATTCAATTCAATTCAATTCAATTCATTTTAATTTTGTATTAGAACCACATTCATAACCAGGAAGTTTATCTCAGGACACTTTTAAAAAAATAGTAGCAGGTCTAGACCGAACTCCTTATAACATTTTCGAGACCACCAGTACCACCATGAGAGGCAACTTGCGACGGGGGCAAAAGGAAAAACTGCCTTTTAACCAAATAAAGGATGTCTCTATTTCCCTTCTAATTAGCACCAAATGACATAGATAGGGCACCAAGACTAAACTGGCCATGTGGGTAGTTCATTATAGAAGGGGAACTTCGGCCACACAGTTGGGCATCCACGACACTGGCTGTTTCCTGCCCTGTAGATCTTTCCAGGAAATTATGCAGAAGTTAATGTGGAATGTGTAAGGAAACCCATTGGGAATCTTATGTGTGTGTTTTATTATTTATTTATTTATTTTCTTAAGAAACAGGTTAAAATTGGAGACTGACTGACTCTGGTATATGATCATCAGATTATTTGACTTTTCTCCCTATTTCTCTCTCCACTTTGTGTTTAATTTTAAGTGTATTCTGAGCCGTGCTCTTTATTGCTCATGTAAACAAAGATGGCCAGTCACTTCTTTAGCTTGCTTTTTTAGTCTGCAGATTTTCATTTACCAAAAGAATATTCAACTGCTATTCAACTGGCATAACTGAGTTGTGGAAGCCACGTTACAACCTTTATCTTTTTTCATACAATTTATTCATGCAATTTTAATTTTGCTAAACTCACCAACAGAGGCACGTACGGTGGTGATGTCATAGGTCTCCAGGTGAAAGATGACGTCCTCTACAGCTTGGATTCCTTCTTCCGCAGTGAAGTTCACCTCGTAGTGTTCACTGCCAATGTGATCTGCAACCTGAAAAACATAAACATACCATCTTCTTTTTCTTTCAACGTCGCTGGCAGGGGATACATCATCTGAAAGCCTTCTCTCAGAAGAACTGACCTTGCGAGCAGCTTTGATGTCTGGACTGTCCTCTGACCCGATTGAAAAGGTCTGAATGGGATACTCCAGCTCCTCCTCCTTGGCCAGCTTCACCAGTGTAGCAGCAACCAAACTGGAGTCCAGACCACCTGAGGATCATCACACAAATCACATTGATCCCCACCTGTCTATATCAATAACGCTGTCCTGAAAAGAACTAACTTCAGGCTAAGCTAATGACAACGTAAATAATTACATGTCAAAAAGGTCTTATCAGGGTTTATGTTCTTATGTATCTTCAAATAAAGTATTTATTTTTACATCTTTCTTTGCCACCACTGTTTTATGTAACAAACAGCCACTGGAGCTGTTTCAGTATAGAGGACCAAAATTGCCAAAATCAATAATAAATACCTCAACACATAAATAAATCAACATGCCATTTAATGCACCAAAATAATATTAAAAATAAATGTAGGCATTAGATAAATAAATTGATATAAATTGATATATATGAATGACAGTCGCTTGTTTGCATAATGAAGCAAAAATGCATAAAGAAATGAAAGAAAGAAAATACTGAAATAAATAAGTGGGGAAATAAATGGTGGAAATTGCAATGGGCAAATAATATATACATAAGTTATTTTAAAAAGTAATACATAAAAAAAAAAAAATAACAGGACAAAGTAAAATAAATAAAAAAGAAATTAAAAAATTGTCACATAATTTTATAATTAATAAATGCCTACATTGATTTTTTTAAAGACTTTTGGTGCATTATTAATTTATTTATTGAGTCATTTATTTCTTTATTTTTGATTTTGGTGGTTTCGGTCCACCATATTTCAGTACATAGATTTCTAGACGTTTACTTTACCTGACAGCAGACAGCCAATTCTTCTGTTAGCCATGAGACGTTTCCTCACAGCATTCTCAAACAGGGTTCTGATGGTCCTTTTCACTCTTTCCTCCTCAAAACCTGTCAGGACATCAGTTTTAAAAAATGTCGTACAAACCACCTAAATGACCAAGTGACTGAAATAACACTGGTTGACAATGAACAGTTTCATACTTGTAGGCAGTCTCTCCACAGTGTCGTAGATGGCATGAGCGGGCTCCTTTGTGCAGCAGTGAAACTGTTCCATTTTAATGGACCGAACTTTGCCATCCTGCTTTAAATCAAAGACCTCAAAGTGCCCAGGAAGAAAGGGGACGATGTTGGCAGGAGTGTCCATTGCATGTGTAAGGTTTGTAAGGCCTTAGATCAGAAAAACAACAAATTGAACAAAGCTTAAACACTGTAAAACATTTCTTACAATAGTATAAAATACCCAGATTGAAGGAGGTGTAAAAACTATCCCATTACCTTTGGCTTCTGAGCAGACTGCAAGGAATCCATTGTCTGTTAGGAATTTGAACAAAGGCCGGACCCCATACGTATCTCTTCCCAGATAGACCTTTCTGTTGGCTGTGTCCAGCAGGACAAAAGCAAAGACGCCATCCAGGAGAGAGGCCATCTTCTGGATACCAAAGCGGTCATACAAATGGAGCAAAACCTCACCATCCACTTTAGTCTGGTAATCAAAGTTAAACTTCTCCCCCAGCTGAAAGAAAAGTGAAGAAATGGCACCGACAGTTATTTTAGGTTTCCTGTTTCTCATAAAAGTGCACACCTCTCCATCCATTTCTTGGAGTTATCTTTGATCAGGACTTGTCATTTAATTCCCACATAAAGGCAGATCTCTAGGACTGCCTTCTTTTTGCATTTCGTAATATTATAGGCAAAATCGAGACACATCGCTGTCAAGCGACAGATGGCAGAAAAACTACATCCATGGCATTTGTACCCTCTATGGGCTGATTACTGTAAGGCTCTTTATTATCAGTTGCGCCTATAAGTCGGCATTAAAATGCTCGCAATTAATTCAGAAGCACTGGGGCAGGCACGAGGTAACTGACAGGAACTAGAAAAAATCAGCCAGTCTCACTTCTCCTGTTCTAAAAAGCCTTCTGCCTGGGCCACTGGCCCCCTCCCGCTGTTAAATTAGAATAGAAGATTAAGAATCTCCTGCCCCTTCCCACCTATAAAGGTCTTCATGGTCAGGCCCTCCTTCATATCTTCAAGAGCCTTATAGTACAATATTACCGCTCTAGAAGCAGCTGCGTATTCTCTGATGCAAGGGCTACTTGTGGTTTCTAAAGTCTCTAAAAGCAGAACAGGAAGCCAGAGGCCTTCGTTACAAGCCTCCTCTCTGTCGGAACCAGCTTCCAGTTGATCGGTTCAGGAGGCAGACACCGCGCTCTCCACATTTAAGAGTAGGCCTTAAGACATTCTCTTTTGATAAAGGCCTTGATTAGTTAGGGGGGCTGGATGGCAGTGTGAGTCCTGAAGGCCATCCCCTGAATTCTTCAGGCCATGCTTTACTCAAAAAGCATTTGCAGGGTCCGTCTTTGTTGCCAATTTGTTAATATTGCAGTGGTAGAAATAAGGCCAGAATCAAGTAAGATGGTTACCCTGAGTTCGGTCCCTAGAGCCTGCTCTAATGTGAAATATGTGTCGCCGCTGTAGATAAACTTGCTGTTATAATTGGGGGCCCTATACAAATAAAATTGAATTGGAACTGAATTGAATGCTAACCTGATTTACAAAGAAGAGCATTATTTTGCCGCATGGGGTAGAATTAGTTGTTTTTCC